TTATGAATGGGAGGAAATCTATATAATCCAACTTTTGAAGGAGTTTTTCTATATTAGTTTTGGTTTTATTAATTGGATTGGGAAGTCCACAAATGGTAAGTAAAGTCCTTATTAACAGGAGATCATATTTTTATTTTTAAGGAAAAAAAAAAGAAGTGACAATTTAATTATTAATTTTTAACCACTTATTAATATAGATTTTAAAAAAAAACATTTAATTGATTAGGATTTCTTTGTGGAGTTGTAAATTATAAAACAAACCAAAATAAAACATAGTTTTACTACTCATTTCATTATTTGAAACACTATTCACACACTCACAAATCACTATTTATATCTTTTTTAACACTTTAGTCCTCAAATTTTATAATTTTTTTTCAATTTCAAACTTTAATTGTATTGTGATTTGATCTCATTTTGTTTTAGTGTTTTTTGTTAATTATTTTTATTATTTAAAATTTAAAATTTAAATTTATCATTTTTTAAATTCTCTTTTCTTTTCTTTTTCAATTTCAAACTTTAATTTATTGATTATTTTTATTGTTTAAAATGTACTACTTTAATTTATCAATTTTCTTTTTTTTAAATTCTCTCTCTTTTTTTTTTTTTTTAGAATTTCAAACTTTAATTATATTTGATTTGATTCCATTTTATTTTAGTGTTTTTTGTTAATTATTTTTATTGTTTAAAATTTACTATTTTAATTTATCTTTTTTTTAAATTCTAATTCAATTAATTTAAAATTATATTCACTCGACAATTTTGATTTATTTTTTTATATTTATACATTTTGAAATAAATTTTTAGAACATGATTATTTTTTCTTTTGAAAATAGATTTAGATCATTTTTAAATTATAGTGGCATGATTAATATTTATAATTTGTCTCAAATATATTTTTAGATTAAAAGTATATTTCAAATAATTTTTTCTCAATTTGTTTATATTATTTAAAATTTACTACATTAATTTGTCATTTGTTTTTAAATTCTCTACTTTTTTTTTCAATTTCAAACTTTGATTATATTGTGATTTTATCCTATTTTTTTATTGTTTTTTTAATTATTTAAAATTTACTATAATTTGTCTTTTTTTTTTCTTAATTCTCATCTAATTAATTTAAAATTATATTTACTGATAGTTTTGATTTATTTTTCTATATGTATGGATTTTGGAATAAATTTTTAGGACATGATTATTATTATTATTATTTTGAAAAATAGATTTAGATACTTTTTAAATTATAGTGGCATGATACATACATACATACATACATAATTTGTCCGGAATCCATTTTTAGATTAAAAGTGTTTTTCAAATAATTTTTTCTCAATTTTTTATTATTTAAAATTTACTACATTAATTTATCATTTTTTTAAAATTCTCTCTCTCTCTCTTTTTCCCAATTTCAAAATTTGATTATATTGTGATTTCGTCCCATTTTGTTTTAGTATTTTTTATTAATTATTTTTATTATTTAAAATTTATTACTTTATGTCATTTTTTTATATTCTCATCTAATTAATTTAAAATTATATTTACTAACGAGTTTTGATTTATTTTTCTATATGTATGGATTTTGGAATAAATTTTTAGAACATGATTATTTTTTCTTTTAAAAAATAGATTTAGATGACTTTTAAATTATAGTGGCATGATTAATATATATAATTTATCTAAAATATATTTTTAGATTAAAATTTTATTTCAAATAATTTTTTCTTGGTTTTTTTAGAAAAAACTCAAATTAATTAATTAATAGTTGAAAGTCAAATGTGAAAAATAAAAAGAAGATGGATGCTCTGCGCGTGAGGCCTATATTTAAGGACTAGCCATATATAACATAGAAATAAAAAAAAAATGTTTAAGAAAGAGCAAAAAAAAGAAAAGAAAAAGAATCCACATGTTTATTAATTTGTTTCTTCTTTATATAATCAAAATTATTTGAAATCAAATTTATAATAATTTTATTTTAGTCTATTAACTTTAAATTTAGTCAATATATTCCTTGCAAGTTAACTTTTTATAGCATTTTTTTTTATTTTAGACTCGAAAACTCTAAACTCGCTTAGTATAGTTATGATGTATAAAAAAAATATTGAATCGTTCTTTTTAGAAATCAACTATGCAACAACTACTACACTAAGCATTTACTAATTATTTATTTATGAATATTTTAAAATTAACTTATTTTAAATTAAATAATTAAAAAAAAATGTTTTGGCTTAATATAGTTTTTTATTTTAATATTATTCATTATTTTGTAAATAAATATATAAAAATTAAATTGACATTTTTTCAAAAATCGATATTCTCATCAACATTAAATAAAAAAAATTATTTATTCAATTCTATGTAAGCTTTTAATAATTCTTATTTATGTTTTCTCAACACAATCTTATGAAATACTAAAAAAAAAATTTAATATTTTTTAGTTAATTATCCATGGATTAACATGGATGAATCATCTTTCTTAAGGAAAAATTATAAAAAACACAAATAAGAAATAGTTAAATACAAAATTTTTTATTGAATAATTTTTTTCACCTTTAATTTTATATATTTTTTATAAATTCACATTATAAAACAAATAATCAAATTGAAATGATTTTTTTAACAATTTTATATATTTTATTTAGCCCGCAACGTAGCGCGGGCAAAACAACCGGTAAAACAAACTAAAGTAAAACATACTTTTACTATTCATTTCACTATTTGAAATACTATTTACACACTAATAAATCATTATTCACGCAATAACAAATCATTATTCCTTTCACTATTCAGTTATTTTTTAACACTTTGGTCCTCAAATTTTCTAAACTTTTTTTTTCAATTTCAAACTTTAATTATATCGTGATTTCATCCCATTTTGTTTTAATGTTTTCTGTTAATTATTTTTATTATTTAAAATTTACTTCTTTAATTTATCATTTTTTAAACTCTCTCTGTGTTTTTTTTTTAATTTCAAACTTTAATTTGTTAATTATTTTTATTATTTAAATTTTACTACTTTAATTTATCATTTTTTTTTAAATTCTCTATTTTTTTTCAATTTCAAAATTTAATTATATTGTGATTTGATCCCATTTTATTTTAGTGTTTTTGTTAATTATTTTTATTATTTAAAATTTACTATTTTAATTTGTCATTTTTTTTTTAAATTCTCATTCAATTAATTTAAAATTATATTTACTGAAAGTTTTGATTTATTTTTCTATATGTATGCATTTTGAAAAAACAATTTGAAACATGATTATTTTTTCTTTTAAAAAATATATTTAGATCATTTTTTAATTATAGTGGCATGATTAATATATGTAATTTGTCTAAAATGTATTTTTTTAGATTAAAAGTGTATTTCAAATATTTATTTCTCAATTTTTTTATATTATTTAAAATTTACTATATTAATTTTTCATTTTTTAAACTTCTTTTTTTTTTTTTTTCAATTTCAAAGTTTGATTATATTGTGATTTTGTCCCTTTTGTTTAGTGTTTTTTGTTAATTATTTTTATTATTTTAAATTTACTACTTTAATTTGTCATTTAAAAAAAAAATTCTCATCCAATTAATTTAAAATTATATTTACTTATAGTTTTGATTTATTTTTCTATATGTATGGATTTTGGAATAAATTTTTAAAACATGATTAGTTTTTCTTTTGAAAAATAGATTTAGATAACTTTTAAATTATAATGGAATAATTAATATATATAATTTGTCTAAAATACATTTTTAGATTAAAAGTGTATTTTAAATAATTGTTTCTCAGTTTTTTTTTGAAAAAAAAAATCAAATTAATTAATTAATAGTTGAAATTCAAATGTGAAAAATCAAAAGAAGATGGTTGCTTTGTTCGTAAGGCTTATATTCAAGAACTAGCCATGCTTAGCATAGAAAAAAAATATTTAAGAAGGAGGAAAAAAAAGAAGAAAAAGAATTCACATGTTTTATTAATTTGTTTCTTCTTTATATAATCAAAATTATTCAAAATCAAATTTGTAATAATTTTTATTTTAGTCTATTAACTTTCAATTTAGTCAATATATTCCTTGCAAGTTAACTTTTTATAGTATTTTTTGTTTTAGACTGAAAACTCTAAACTCGCTTAGTATATTTATAATGTATAAAAATATATTGAATCATTGTTTTTTTAGAAATCAACTGTGCAACTACTACTACACTAAGCATTTATTATTTATTTATTTATTAATATTTTAAAATTAACTTATTTTAAATTAAATAATTAAAATAATGTTTTGGCTTAACCACTCAATGATTCAAATTAATGTAGTTTTTTATTTTAATATTATTCATTCTTTTGTAAATAAATATATAAAAATTAAATTCATATTTTTTCAAAAAACCGATATACTCATCAACTTTAAATAAAAAAAATTATTTGTTCAATTCTATATAATCCTTTAATAATTGTTATTTACGTTTTTCGATATAATCTTGTGAAATACTAAAGATTTTTTTAAAAAAATTATTTAATTTTCTTTTTAATTAATAATCTATGGATTAATAAGGATGAATCCTTTTTCTAAAGAAAAAAATTATGAAAAACACACAAATAAGAAATAGTTAAATATAAAATTTTTTATTAAATAATTTTTTTATACCTTTGATTTTATATACTTTTATAAATTTATAACATTACTATATTATTAAATTAAAATAATTTTTTTAAATAATTTTATATGTTTTATTCCATTTATATCGTAATGCGAGGAAAAGAACTAGTTCGATACGAACGTAGTATGTTTCCTTTATAAATAGAAAAGTTCAGGAGCCTTAAAAAACCCATAAAAGACTAGATGTGTCCAAAGCCATGTATTGAATTAAACCAAGCACAGAATACCCCCAGCTATAAAGCAAGAAAAATGAGGGCAAAGAAAGAAGTGAGTTAGGGTTTTATCTGCCTACTGGCCAAGTCTTCATTAAACTCGATTGTCCAAGAACAAGAAGGCAGAGGAGAAAAGAAAAGGAAAAAGATGGAGTCAGAGGGAGGTCAAGCTGCTAGAATTCTCAGCGAAATAGATACATTAAAGGGCAAAAGGAGCGACATAGACAATCGAATTTCTGCTCTCGAAGCTCAACTCGGTGATTTGAATATCGAGAAAAACAACGGTTCCTGTCCTTCAATCTCTACAGGAGGCTTCGGTCACGGATTATCACCTGATATGATATACCGTTACAGTCGCCACCTGCTGCTCCCCACTTTTGGAGTTGAAGGTTCTCTTTATGCATAATACAAGATATCAGTTCTTGTAACATTCCTTGTCTGGATTAATGGTTTTTTATTTTTATATGTGAAATGTAGGTCAGTCAAATCTGTTGAAGTCTTCAATTTTAGTAGTTGGAGCTGGAGGGTTGGGCTCGCCTGCTCTTTTATATCTTGCAGCTTGTGGTGTTGGTATTGATTTATTCTTCCTATTCTTGGAATTAAATTTTCATTTATCACCTGCATTGACTAGTTGCAAGATACTTTTGCCTGATTTACGCATTCGCTGATCCAACCTTATACTTTAGTAGTTTATCTAGAAAAACTACCAAAACACAAATGGTTTGGTAGGAGGTTGGGTGTGTGGGGAGGGAGAGGGATTGTTGTGTCTAAATGATTTTCTTACCCAAATTATTGTAGTTGGTTTCTCAATTTGTAGCATCTTCTGTTGAAAGTCATGAAAATGGATAAAAATTCCTTTTTACGTTGTCTGGGGTGGGCATCTAATGGGTTTTTTTTGGCGGATTAGTAATCTTTTTTCAGTCAAGAATTTTTTTTTCAAGTACCATTACAATTTTCAATACATAATTCTTAACTATTTGATTGTTCTAGTTAATTCCTTACATTTTTTTATATCCTATTCAGTGCTTCCTGTTTCTTTTTGCCTTCTGTTTCCTTAATGCTTTCTTTGTAGGTAAGTTGGGTATCGTTGACCATGATGTTGTTGAGCTGAATAATATGCACAGGCAGGTACAAAGTTGGAAATGTTTGCATTGTAAATCATTTTATTGTTCCATAAGTAGTTATGAGAAAAATTCAAGTCATGCTGTTTTGCAAATGAGCAGAGAATGTTTGCTGGTGCTAACGTTCAATGTCCATTCTTGCACCATGCATATTATTTCAGTTTATAAATGTTCATTATGCAAAGATGAAACAGTAAAGACTTCATAGTTAGGATACTAAAGGAATGAAAATAGAGTACTCTTCATTTTCTCATGCAGTTATTGTGCATGGGTGTTAAACAAAGCCACCTTCGTGGAGCTCACATCTTTCCCTCCTTCTGTGAATCATTTAATATAATTTCCTTGCATGTCTTATCTCATTCAGCCTATGTGTTTTCATAAGTTATTTTTGCTAGAAATTTTATTCAACTAACTTCTATAGTTGTTTGTTGTACTTAGGTTATACACACAGAAGCATATATTGGTCAGCCAAAAGCGAAATCTGCTGCTGGCACCTGTCGATCGTATGTGTACATTTTGGATGATCTGTCTACTTCTATTAATTGTTCTCAACTTCCATAGTTAATATTTGAGCTCAAGCTGCAGTTCTATAGTAAACAAATTAATGAAACAACTTTCAAGCTGAAATATTGCACTTATATTGTGAACAATGAACTCGTTCTTGTCAATCGAGCCTTACAAGTTTTAGTTCCTATTTCTAATGCTATTCGTTTGCTTCTGTTCAATGTATATCTTTTTCAAGGATCAACTCCACAATTCAAATTGTGGAACACCAAGAAGCTTTACGCACATCCAATGCATTGGATATTCTGAGCCAGTATCCTTGATATGATAAATCCAAATTATAGCTTCTCTCTCCATGATTAATTTAAAATTCTTTGCCAGAATTGCAGTTTCCATAACCGCCAACTTTGTTAGATATGACATAATAGTAGATGCAACAGACAATGCTCCAAGTCGTTACATGATCAGTGATTGTTGTGTGGTTTTGGGGAAGGTAAATACTAAATTGGTATCTTGAAGTGTCTTTTCTTTTCTTTTTTTATTCATTGAAATGCGTGTTTGTTTAAATCTTTGCACAGAAGACTATATCCGAATTTAATACACTGAGTTGCAAAATGTTTTCTGTTGTGAAATAATTTGGACTTGTTTCATGTGATATGTAGGTTATTTTGTTATGACATACTGTAATTTATGTAATAGCAATTAAACGTTGATGCAATTGAATATTAATTCCTAGCAGCAGGTTTGCTCTGGTTCATGCTTACAATGAGTCTTGATTGTGCTAATGCACTGAAACTTATGCTGTCAGCTTTCCAACACACAGATATGCACTGGCATGTATGTGTGTGTTACAGCTTGAAAGAATGATCTATTGTTGGCTCACTTTTCATTTCAAGTGTTAATCAAATTCCATTTATCTACGTGCAGCCACTTGTTTCAGGTGCTGCATTGGGATTGGAAGGGCAGGTATGTGACGCTGCTGTCATAGTCTCTCTAAAGCACGCAATAAACCTTACAATGGTTCACGTGCAATTGTAATTTTCACTGTTTAAATATAGTGTGAAAACTCCAGTTATAATTCTATTCAAATTTATTGTCTAGCTCACAGTCTATAATCACAATGGAGCTCCATGCTATAGATGCCTTTTTCCAACTCCTCCACCTACAACTGCATGTCAAAGATGTGCCGATAGTGGAGTTCTTGGAGTGGGTATGTCAATAAATCATTATTACGATGGATGATCTTTTTTTTTTTAATTAAAAAAAAAAAAAAATCTTTTCTAATGCCATATGTTTATACAACATCTCTAGCTTGAGTTCATTAGGGAATTTTTGGTTGATCCCATATGAAAGAGTAGGACAATAACCACTGTCAGTCTGGAAGATTTTTTCTTGATCCTTTAGAATTGCATTTTTATGCCAATATGGTATGCCAATGTGCCTATTATTACTATAGAAGTTTTGTGCCTATCAGAAAATCTCTGCTCTTTTTAGTTGTCATTCAGCTAAAATGAGCAGAGATGCTTCTGTTTGATGTTTATATAATTATGCTCTTTGTGCTGATCAACTTCATATGTACACTTTGACAACAGATGAACATGCATGTAACTAAAAATTGTCCTGCTAATTTTTTATATTGCAGTGCCTGGCATTATTGGCTGTCTCCAAGCATTAGAGGCCATTAAAATTGCAACTGCTGTTGGTGAACCACTATCAGGACGGATGCTTCTTTTTGATGCATTTTCAGCTCGAATTCGTATTGTACAGTCCATCCTTCATATCTTTAAAAGCTTCTTTAAGGTTTGTTCTAGTGATACTCGGATGTAGTTAATTTACACTCTTGTTGAATATTGCTTAGGTCAAAATCAGAGGTAGATCATTACAATGTGAAGTATGTGGAGAACATTCAGCTTTCACGCAACAACAATTTAAAGATTTTGATTATGAGAAGTTCACTCAGTCTCCATTGTTGGTGGTATATTGCTTTCCTTGCTTTTTTTTTTTTTTTTTTTCACTTTTTAAATTCTGTTTCCAACTTTAAATTGTTTTGTTTAGACACGATAGCTTCCCTCACTTATTTTCTGTTTCCAAATGTTAACTTTTGTTTAGAGATTGAAAAAAAAAAAAAAAAAAACTAGGGGTTGTTTGGTAAGTTTTTTGTTCTTAGAAAATCAAACATTGTTTATTGTTTATAGTTTTGTGAAAACTATTTTTTTAACAAAATTGTTTGAAGGAAAAGTTCTTATACATAATTTTATTTTAGAAATATAAAAATATATAATTAGTTAAAATATAAATATTAATAACATTACATAATTAGTTGTGGTGATGAAATGATGGCATGGCGGTAGTGGCAGTATCGACATAGTAATTATTGATATAATGTTAAATGACGATATTGGTCATCGTAATAACAAATTGATGGGGATCATTATTTAATTTGTAAATAATGGTAAATATAGGAGGTGATAATGATATGATAGAAGTGACCACAATAGAATGACGACAACAAAGGTTTGACTTTTATGTTTGCGAAGGTTATAAAGGTAATGATGGTGGTCTTGGTGGATTTAATAATAATGTTGGTAATATGAAAGTGGTGGTTGTGATGGTTATAGTGGTGGTTGAAAGGTAATGATGGTGGTCCTGATGGATTTAACAATAATGTTGGTAATATAAAAGTGGCGGTTGAGATGGCCATAGTGGTTGTCATGGTTATGGTATTGATGGTGTGGTGGTAGTGTGATGTGATAGTATGATGGTGGTAATTTTGGTAACATTATATCCTGCATATGAAAAACCAAAAATAGATAATAAAATACAACTTTTTGTTGTTTCTAAAAATCTATTTAGTTTCTAAATATGTTTGCACTAAGAAAAAATGCAACAATTCAACCAAAATGTTTTGGGTTTTTTTTTCATTGAAAAAAGAAAAAAACAAAAGCAAAAACAGGAACCCATATTGATACCATGGAACATGTAAGCATTGTTTTTTTATACTTACATGTTTTGTTCTTTTCTCACTAGATCCATTTCTACTCATCTAATTGTAACATATTTGCTCTTTTGGACTTTATCAACATGGCTAAAACATAAAGTCACCTCAATACGTATGAGTATTGGAAATTGCCTCCTAAACCGAAAATTCTCAAAATTTGTCTCCTCAACTAAAGTTTTGTTGGATTCAAGTTCTGTTGCTTACCTTCTACTATAAACAAATTGCAAAATCTAATGGCTGATTTGCTGATGTGCAGCTGCGTCAGCCAAAGCTTGCTGCGAGTTTAAGGATGATAAATTAGTAGTCTTGATTCAAAGAAACTATCAATTGAAGAGCAAATAATAATAATAATAAATAATAAAGCAACAACAAAAGGGCTGCTGGTTTTTTTTTTTTTTTTTTTTAATAATAGTAATTGTTTAAGACAGTGAATGTAGGCTCAATGTTAATTGGCAACTGATTATGCTTTATTGTCTTTGATTTCATAGTCTTAGCAGTCAATGAGGATGTGCAAACCTCATCTTTGTTTTTGGAAAGAAATGTTCTATAGTTGTAACACATCCTCCTCCCAACTGAATGCAGGCTCCCGTGAAGTTGAACCTGCTTATAGAAGATTACAGAATACACAGCAGAGAGTTGAAGGAGAAAATTGTTAAAGGGGAGGCACATGTGTTGGTAGACGTACGCCCTGCACACCACTTCAAGATTGTGTCTCTTCCCAATGCCTTGAATATCCCACTATCAAGTCTAGAGTTTAGGTTAGCCGAGATCTCATCAGCTTTGAAGGAAGAGGAAAAGCGGAAGGGTATTGGTTTTGATTCTAGTGCCAGCCTGTATGTGATATGTAGACGAGGTAATGATTCCCAGAGGGCTGTTCAATTGTTACACAAAGTGGGCTTCACTTCAGCCAGGGATATAATTGGAGGCTTGGAGGCCTGGGCAGTTGATGTGGATCCCAACATCCCTACCTATTAAGAAGATGGCTTTTTTTCTTTGCCATTATTTTTGTATGATTATCTACATATTTTTCACATAAATTGTTTGCCAAGAGAAGCTATATTTAGCTATCATTTTACCCTTTATAAGTAGGAAATTATAATTATATTGAAGTTGCTGCATTTTGCGTTGCACCCTCTCTTTTATACGAATTATTGGACGCTAGGTTGTTGCCTTCACTCAAGATCGAGGGTTCTATTTTTTCTGAATGACGCAAGTTTTATTCAACTAAAATAGCAAGGTCATTGCTATGCCCTTACAATAGTGGAAACTTAAGGTGGATACTCTTCAAGTCACGTTACTGAAAAAAAGACAAAAGTTAGTTGGCTAGGGAGAGTGCTTCCATATTGGCCTCTCTATTAGCATGGAGACTGCCGACATTTAAACGTCTTAGGCAATGCTGCCTAGTATGATAGTTGACTCCGCTGGAGAGTTGAACTTCATTTGCCACTGTTAAAACAATCGGTGGCGAGCACAACTTTGCAACCCATGTGAGGAGCAAGAAGGATAGCATAGCGAGCATCCATTACTAAAGCCAAGTCACGTTTGGACATTGCGCCGGACTTTGAAAATTGACGGCAGACAAGATGGTTTCGCCTTTATCATTACGAGTTATAACCCCAAAGCTTATACCATTGTTTTCATTGCAGCATCAGAGTTTATCTTAAAGAAGTCTTAGTTAGGATGGTTCCAAGATTACCTGCTTCGAACCAACCCACTGCTGGCAGAATTATGGGAGTTCAGAGTCTCCAGTTTATACTCATGAAGATTCTTTAAAGATTGACTGACAACAGGTGGAGGATCTCCTTCTTCACCTTTGAAAATAAATTTATTTCTGACATTCCAAATTGACCAAGCCAACACAGAGAATAATACCATCATATATATCCCTGTCTAGATTTTTGCTCAAGAAAATTGTGCAATCTTTAAAAGAAGCATGAGTCATTTCTGCAGTGTAAAATGAGAGATGAAACAAGAACCATACCCCTTCAGCCCGTGTGCATCCTTTAAGAACGAGCAACGTACCCCCAATCTCCAGTCTACAGCTTTCGCAACAAGTATCAATATTCTGAATTCTTTTGGCTAAATTTACGTGAGTGGGAAAAGCTTCCTTCCGGGCTCTCCATATAAAGTTCCAAAACTCAGGATGGATGGAGAGGCTTCACAAAATCTTCCACCAACTATTTTTCTCATGAGCAATACCACGACTTGAGGATGTACTGCTGCTATTAAACCGCTGAACATGCTGGTGATATCCTCTCTTGACTGAGTAACCTCCGCCTTTCGTGAAGTGTCAGATTAACTTGTCTTGGGGTAGGCGCCAGCTAAGAGGAAGTGACTGGATTTGCTGGGCTTCAAAGGGATACAATATAGAATTGCACTTTCAAAAGTCCCACGATATGCTTTTCTCATGTGACTGAATTATGTTCCTAGACTTTCATTATTTTAGTTGTTGAGTCATCTTGTTCATGTTAGATTCAGTCAACAAGTAATGTCAGTAGTGGGCTACCGTTTTAGCTAAGTGGAGCTATTCTTTAGCTATCCACTCCTTAGTCATTTAGTTGCTACTGGTTATGTTCCCGCGCTACGCTACGGATCAAGCAACATTATATGTTTCAGACATTTTATATATTTTTTTCAAATAGTTTTGGCACAGGTGAATTATGTTAGTAAGATATTAGTTTAAATTTATTTGCTCGATCATGTTTTGCCTGTACATTATGCTTTAGCTTGTGCTAATCTTTATAATAAGTGAAAGAGAGATTTATTTAGTAATGATTATTGGATGACTATGTTCAAAATGTATATAAACGATCGCAAAAAGGATAGTGGTGAAACAAAGCAAATATCTACATAATATATGCATAAGAAACCTGAATCAAATGTTAAGAATGCTTGAAACAAAAAATCTTGACCATTGTGTGCAAAAGGACATGAGCTTTTTAGTTTTATTTAAATCCAAAACAATAGAATGAGTTGATCCTCTGCTTGGAGAAAGATAATAGAGCTTTCTTAGAAAGAGATATTAATTAAATTCTCTACACAATCAATTATCCTAAAAAGGATAAAAATTTCACCTCAAATGATAAAAGCAAGTTAAAATTTACTTGAAAAAGCAATTTAAATAATCAATCCAATCATCTTCTTAATACAATCATTATGCAGTTGTGGAGATGTACTTAAATGTCTTCAAGGTTCATAGTACAACTATGTTCCGTAGTTGTAGACAATCATAGATGCCACAAAGGCCATACATGATATAACTTACCCACAGCGGAGTGTAAGGAGATGAAAAGAACTTTATGATATTAATGATACCTGTTTTAAACTCATATTTATCCATGTCAATAGTTTTAGGATTTTCGGTAAGATCTTCACTGAAAGATAGGATTATTAAAGATGTTAAAACATTATGATTTCCTATAAGTTAGCAGACAGATAATGCAACATTGACTTCCACTGAAAGTACAATTATTGCGTATAAAAATTGTCAACAATGTTATTAGCAAAAGGTATTTTAAGCAAGCAGCCTAATCTTTACCAAATCAAAAACTATTCAATGATGTAAAAGCATGCAATAAAACATAAAGACTTGGTACCTTAATATATGATAATATACCTTTTATCAAATTTAGTTCTTCCAAATTGACTCTGAAAAATAGTTGTTGATGCATTGACACAAAAAAAAAAAAAAAAAGGGATGTTTGGGCAAAGCAATCATGTTGACAACAAAGAGACTAAATAAATCCAAAATAAGCCGTAGAAGATTACTTTAAGATGTCAAAAAAAAAAAGAGCTACCTCACATTATTCAAAAAATAGATAAGAATCATGGATTACTTGTACTCTAAATGATCAAATTGAAATTAAATAACAGACTTATATTGGCACACTCTTGCAGTGTATATAGAACATGAAACAAATAACAATAAATGAAAAAGAATAATAAAAAACCTCATAGGATATTCAAATCTATACATAGGCATTTCCTGTAGGATAGTATGATGCAGCAACTGATGTTAACAAAGAAACATTTAAAACACTTTGAATGAACTGCCTTTTTCATGCCAATAATATTAACATAAAACTTTCAGTCATAACTTGAATGTTCACCACTTATTCTTGAATCCTCTACTGAAACAATAGCAAAAGTTTCAGTCATGGCATAAGCCTAAAACTACCGAGAGCATCTTGATTAGAAAAGAAGAAAATATTTTTTCTTTTAAATAAAAAAGTCAACCATACCACTTACCTGACTAATTATAGTATCAGACATATTTTTGGCACATTCCTTCATCAAATCTTTTCCCAGAAGGGCATCACAATAACCAATATTTTTCAATCAAGAAAGGTCATACTTTTATCCAAATTCCGTTTAGCTAAAGCAAGCACTATTGGAGACACCATCCGCATATGAGTCTAATTTGCACAGTCGAGTCCCAGCTTCCAAAACATTGTTTTAATGGAAACAAACAAATAAAGAGAGAACACTAATATGAACAGTTGAACATATACAATCCCGAATAGTTGTTACAAAACATGATCATTTTATAGTCATAAAGATATTGATAATTACAAAAAAATACTAATTAATTAGGCACAACTACATTAAAGCTTGCTGATTTCCCAACCTCCATGTAGCTATAAGTACCTTGAAAGATAAAAGATAATTTCTTTTAAAAGAATTAAAGAAAAAAATCAAAACAAAAACAACTAATTGAGTAAATGAAAAGAAAAAAGAAGATTGATTGCCCATCGACTTCAAGAAGAACAACATGTTCTGGATATGGGTTTTGATTTTCAGAACTGGATGTTGAGCAAAATGTAGTGAATAGATTTTATTACAAAGATTTACTGAAAAATTATAGTGTCTTGGGAAAGTGGAAGAAAATGGCAGGTCCGGATAGTGATTATTGTTGTAGTCATTGTTAATAGAACCAAATATTTAGAGGTCTCAAAACTCTTTATAATAGAAATTTATTAAATAGTTTAAAATTAAAAATCAATGTAAAAATACATAAAATCAGCTAAACCCTCACCATCTTCAACCTTTAGACTTGCGAACATTCAAATATGATCCACATTGTAGGATTGGCAAAAAGAAGATAGTTCAAATGCACATAAAACAGTCAGGTTCAACGATCATTTCTCTCTAACAGCTAGCAAAAACAACCCCATTCACATGTTTGTGCTATGCCAGTAAAAAACTGAGAATAAAAGTTCTTACGCAAAGTCATAATAGTAATATAAGAAATTAAAATAATAATAAATCATTTGCCAACTGGAATACTACCTAAATACCATGAAATGAACACTAAAGATGGCAAGAAGAAAATCATACCTTAAATAGTATGGGAAATTATTGAAAGAAACTTCTTTTTTTTTTTTTTTTTTGTCAAGAATTTAGCATGAAGTTATTGTTTGACTACTGTACATCACAATGACATGCCTGAGATTGCGCCAGTTGCAAATCCTTCACCTAGTCGTTCTTTTCTTCCAATACTTGTTTACATATATTTTTGCTCAGTTTTTATTTACAATTAGATGATCGAGCTAACATCTTGAAGAAAGGCCTCATCAAATCATTCATAAGCAAGCTTTTAATGGAGTGAAATGGGCTAAAATAATCCATAAGCAAGAAAGATTGAACCAGTAAATAATCCATAAGCTTTTAATGTAGTAAAGGATATAAGTACATGGTTCCCATATACAATATTATTGAATGGCAATATTTTTGCTGATACAATTATTGTGAAAATGAACTGCCTCTGTAGAGAAAGAAAACAGGGAACACAGAGCTGAATTGTAAATGAAAATTACAGGTGAGTGAATAGCTCACAGCTTTCTAATGAGAAGATTCACTCCATGTCCTGGTTCTATAACCAACTTAAGAGCTGGGAAGTGAATATATTTGGGTGATATAGTAGAGGAGAAATTGGAGACAATAATTGCAAGGAGAATATTTAGTTCTGTAATGGAAAAATGCTATCCTAGACATGTCTGTGGCCTAATAACAAAGGGTATGTAAACATGAGGATACTTATAGGCTCTACTGACCCCATTGGCAAACCTCTCAAGATTGAACTTGCCAGCATTATGTCCCTAAATTTTAGGATCTTATGTAGAGCTACAATCAATGTATAAACGTTGATACCCTTGGGTAAATTTTTTTTCCAAATTTCATATCTTGCAATGCCTCCTTAGATATCACACAAATAAGAGGGTAAAGGTGCAGTGATTCGTGAATCACCATTGTCAACTACAATCAATCAAGTTGTTACTCAGTTAAAGGATTGTCTCACAATTTAAGAACCAGAAAGATAATTCAAAATAAAAAACATAAATGATAGCACTCACTATTTTCATCTTGCAAATCATGTTTGCATCCGACAGTTGCGCCCTACAGACTTCATATACTTCTACTCGAACTCTATCTTGCCATTCAGGATTTGATGCCAAAAGAATCATCGTCCATGTTGCAGTGACAATGGTTTCAAAGCTTGCCAAATATATGTTCTTGCAAATAATCCATAAGCTTGCCAAAAGCATCATCATCCATGTTGTAGTGACAGGTCCTTTGATGTTGGTTCCTTCACTTCCTCCACTTTTTTCAAAACTAAAGCACACGCTTCTTTCTCTAATCTGCACACTTCCCTATTGCTCTTGGTTGGTAGAGATCTACAAAATTACAAAATTAATTATGTTCTTAAATACAAATTTTTTTTGATAAATCTAAATATTAAAATACCTTAATTTTTTAATGTTGGATACCTTAAAATAGGATGCCCAGATGATAAAACTTTCTTTGACATAGCTCCTTGAAGAGCTCTAAGCTTGAGGAAAATCTCTTTTCCTTTGGCATAATTACTCTAAGAACATGCTTTTGAGATTACATCTCCAAAGAAACTTCTCATGTCTTCATCAATGCTGATGTCCACAGCTCCTTCCTCAGTTTCAATCTTTTTAGTCCATAAATCAACTACTATATTTGAGGATTCAGCTATTATGTACATGAAATTCTACAAAAATTGAATCATTGATTGAAATAGTAAGCAACTATAGAGTTGGAATATATTATGCCAAATATCAAAATATTTTATATCTTGACATTCTTTATGTACAATTCAGGAGCAGGAATCTTTCTTTGGTGTGCCCATATCACACCAATTGAGGTCAGAATACCTTGGCTTAGGAGAGGACCACACTCTTTTACTTGATAAGAAGGCTTCCCCAAGTCTAAAGTATATTGTTCAAATAAGGTTTCACCTGTCAATGTGAAGGTATATATAAGGAAAAAAATGGTAGCTGAGGCTGCTGTCATTCATTGTAGCATATAAAATATGATGTATTTTGCATAACCTCAATAATGTCATGTGCCTTTGTCATTGAAACTTGGAAGTCTTCAAGAGTGATTTTGCATCTCATAGGCAGATACATTGTATTTTGCATCTCATAGGCAGATACATTGTTGACTCATAGAAGGTAATGAATGTGAGTCATCTGCTAGTACATTTCAAAAATATTACATTTATAAAAGATAAGCACCTAATTGTTTTTTGTGCTAATGATCAAAAGTATAATTGAGGATGTTTTATGAGAAAAGGAGAAACAATATACATATGCATGCCTTGCCAATTTATTTATATATTATGATCCTAAATATATTACTTAAATAACTAAAGAGCAATTAAAGTGTCGTACCAATGGATTTTTTATTCATTGAATTATACAAACGCAAGAGTTCCTTACTCCTTTAAGTTCTCCATCAATAGAAATGTTGTGACATTATAAAAGAGAAGGGAAAATATAAGGAAAGTGTAATGGAAAAACAAATAGCATAGCTACCTTAATCTTAAAATACCAATCATATATTGATAAATTACAAATGGAATATAAAAACAACCCCAATTTGTACTTCATTTTGTAGAAATTGTTCATGCAAACATGCCCTACATATCACAATAGTTCCTAAGCCTAAACACTCTTTTTAAGTCAGGAAAAAGCACTCCTACAAATGTTGAAGATAAGACTGGCAATAATTTGCTTTTCAAGAAACATGTTATGGCATGTGGGCATTCTTCATCTAAAACAATCAAAACCCAATCATGGAAATTAAGTACGGTGAGTAGGAGATGATTAATTTTACCTTGGTTGAGATTCAAGAACATGAGCAATATCTTTGCCATAAGCAATATGAAACCAATTAACTTTTTTCTCTTTGATGATTTTTCCTTGATTTTCCCTAACTGTAGCAGTAATTTTCTTGAAATTGCTCTTGAAAGTAATTGTATGTTCCCAAGTGAAAACATAAATGCTGTACAAGGATAATAATTAGAACCTTCACTTGAAATGATATTGCAACATACTTGAAAGTGAGAGATCTTAGAGTTAATCAATACTGTATTTTCTTACTCCATTGCTTGAAGAATGAGAAAGGGGTGTTAGAAGAATTATGACTGATCAATTGTTCTCCTTCTTATGTTGGATTTGAGAACTTAGATTGTGCCTTCTTAATGTCATGTATGTTTCCAAGAAAAAATATAGGTGGGGGACTCGGATATCTTGCTTTTGTAGCTTCGAACGAAGCCTTCCAGGCTTGAATATTAGAGCATCACACATTTGTATGACAATGCCAATAAAGCTGATAATACTAACGACAACTGTAATCTTAGGCAGCAACAATTAATCTTGCACCACTGATCCCTTGCTCCTCGAGGTTCTAGCACATTAATAGCACCTACCTTACGCTAATCAAGTCCACAAATAATGAGTACTCAAACTACACATACATAGTCAGGAGTTCACCATCAGAATCAGACCAAAACTTAACGAATTCATTATCCTTACTTTGAGTCTCCCTAAATCCTTCGAAACCCATTTGAGCCTTCACATTCTCTTCAAAACCCAATTTACTTTTCCCTTCAAAGTTGCTAATTTCACCCTCAAGTGGCTCAAATTTCCCTTTTTTAGCCTCAATTTCTCCAATCCCTTTAAAAACCACATCAGCCCTTCCACTTTCCACAGAACCCTACTCATTTTTCAAATCAAAGTCACTTAGTTTGCAATCATCGGATAGATCAGTACCTGAATCAATGCAGAACGCACCAGAATTTCTCTTTTAGAACCGAGTTTCTGACCCAGGATCGACCCAACTCAGATTTTCAAACTCAAAAGAAACTTCTTCAGCAACAGTAATTTCAAAATATATATTATCATTTTCAAGAGAGAAGTAATCTAACCTAAACATGCCTTCCGTAATAGCCTCCATTTATTCAAAACTTCTTGAAGAATTAGCCACTGAGTTGGGTAACAAACGGGTCTTCTTTAAAGAAGTAGAGGAACAGCAAGAGAGAGCACCGAAGCAAACATCAAGAGAAAAAAATAGAGATTCAATAAGATATAAAGCTTTGCAAGCACATATCATTATTAAATACCTTTAAAATAAATGAAGATGGCGTGGAGTTAGCTCAAGGTAGCAGAGAATGAGTTAACAGATGAAGGATCTGAAAGTGGAAAACTCAGGCTAGAGGCAAAGGAGAGAGAGAGAGAGAGAAGGAAGAGGTGACATTTTGGAGAAACCAGAAAATAAAAATGGAAAGATGAAAAGAGGGCGAGCAGAGAAGATTAGAACAAATGAGAGAGAGAGAGAGAGAGAGAGAGATGGAAGAGTGACATTTTGTTTTTCTAGATTTACTCTCAATTATGCTTTATATATATTTAAACTAAATTGCATAACATTAAATTTATCTAGATATTTAAAGGGGTTAAGAATTTTTAAAAAGTAATTTTTAATTGATACATAATATTGAAAAAGTTCATTTGATAAGTAAAAAAAAATCATGAGCATGATACGAAAAATATTTATTAGAAATTATTAGGTTGATTTTGCAATCTTGAGACAATAAATTTTTGAAAAAAATGTTTTTTCATGCCCAATGATAAGTGCATTGTAATAATCGATACCCCGTTAAAATTAAAATTTAATAAAAATTAAATACAAAAAACATATGAAAAATACTTTGAAGGCATGAAATAATCCACAATGGCTTGAAAGAATATTCAGAACTATAAAAATAGTTATTTGATGCTCAAAGGATGTTTTATTGACTTTATGGTGCATGGATAGTGATTTTTGTGTGAGATAATTATTTTGAACATGTGTATATGCATGAAAAATATTTTGGTTGCTTAGAGTATTTGCTAGAGGAGTGTTAGATTATTCTATGTTGTTGGACGGATTTTTTGTTATGTGGTGAATATTTTATTTGCTTTTTATTGTGCATGAATAGTAATTTTGAGGTAAATTAACTAATTTAGATGCTTTAAAGATACAAGAAAATTATTTTAAAGGTATATAAAAATCATTTAGGATGTGTAGGAATATTAAATAATTTAGATGAATTTTCCTAGATATAAGGAATATTTTCTATATAAAATAGTGTAATTTCTACACTAAATAATTAATTTGGAGGCCTCAATAAAAGAATAAAAATTATTTGAATGGTGATTAAATTCTTTTAGGAAGTTTTTGAATTTTTTATAAAAAGAAATCAAATTTTAGAAAGGTTTGGAATAAAATTTTCGAGTTAAGGACCTAATTGCATAGAAATTAGAGACCTAATTGCATAAAATTAAAAGTTTAAACTTTCAAACTAAATTAGATATGAACTTTAAAAGTCAAAACGTTGTTAGGAAATCTTTAAAGGAAGGACTCGAAGTAATCAATTAAATAATTGAAGGACTAATGAAGGAGTAATTAGAGAAAAGATTAGTAATTTTATGGACCAAAGTTAAGTAACTTTTGGGAGAGATTTTTTCTCCCTTTTGCTGGAACTTTCGGATCAATGATTGAGTGTAATTAAGGCATGCACAAATGGAAGGATTAGATTTAAAGAGAGTGGTTAGATGGAGGGATAAAATTTAAAAACTAAATGGATAGTTAGGATTAAACCAATTCAAAGGCTAGGATTAAAAGAAAAATTAAGGGTTAAGATTAAACCAAATGAAGGGTTGAGATGAAGTCAATCAAAGGAGAAAGTCTACCTAATTTTCCTACAAATAATGGGTGGTAGAAATTATGGATAAATGTTGGAAAATTAGCAAACTAAGTGGAAACTCTTGAAAAATTTCCTTAGGAATTCCACCTAAAATTTTACCTAAGCACCTCTAGACACCCTAAATCAACTAATCAAGCTAGGAATTTAGGTTAAAAGATCAAGTATTACAAGGAAGAAAAATTAGAGTTTGGCTCGAAACTTGGAACAAAGAAGGGGAAGAACAATTCTTCAAATAATCCAACTGTCTAAAGGTTAATTGGAGCTTATCTATGTAAGTTAAATTCACCTACACCACAAGCAAGTTTAATTTCATGTTTGATGCTTCAATTTGATTTAATTGCATAAATTATGAAAAATTAAGGTTAGGGTTCTTAGTTAGAAAAAAATGGGGAAAATAATTCTAACCCTAAATTTCATGAAATTGAAGTTAAATTAGGCTAATTGGACTTAAATTTGAAGTTTAAAACTAAAAAATTTATAGGGTTAGAGAAGGGCAAACATTCGGCCTAAATTAACAAATTAGCGTTTTTTGATCCCTTGATGTAATTGATGTTTTATAGCTTAATTATGACTTAGTTATGTGAGAATTATTATTTTGGAATGAAAAATCCCATTTAAATTAAAGAAAATTTCGGGAATCCTTAGCGTTTATATTCGGCCTAAACTTAACATTTTTAGGATTTTGTTTCCTTCATTCAATTTATGAAATATTAGTTAATTTGTGTTTGAATTAGCATGATTTGATGAGTAGGTAAGAAAAATTCCAAAAAAGTTGAAGAAAATAGCCTAAATTAACTTAGGCCCAATTTCGGCCCATTAGGGGCCAATCGGTGTTTAGGCATGAATTTGTTCCGGGAATGTTAGTTACACTAAATCCTAGTGTTAGTATGAAATTAAATGACTTGGTATTAGAATTTGAGGAGGAATGGAAAAGAAAATAATGAGGTTAGAGTTAGCCAATTAATACTTAATTGAGTTAGTTCTTGATGTTAAGGTTTAATTAAGTAAAATTATATGAGAAATTGGTATTGAAATTAAAAGAAAATGTTTGGGCTAGCTTAGGATTACTATTCAACCCAAGTTTAAAATGTTAAGGTTAATGATTTGGTTTATGTAATTTAAAGTGTAATTGAATTATTTGAATGCTATTTAATGTGTTTGATATGTGTATGTTGTAAGGAATTTATAATGTTGCTTTATAGTGTTGATGGTTATGAAGTTGTATTGTTTGTGTTGTGTAATGGTGAATTGTTAGATTGATTGTAATGATGAATTGTTTGGAATGGTTTATGATGATGTTATTAAGCTTACGTTCATGATGCATTATATGGTGTTAAATTATGCATCATGATGGCATAAATGCAATTTACTATGGAATGCGTCTCATGAAGTAATAATAGTCATGCATTTTTATGAAAATGAAATGCATGACTATAAATGCCCAATTTAAGGAAAAAGGTTTTAAAGTCATGAGAATGTATTTTTATGTCATGGTTTTTCAATAATAATTGGAAAGATTTATGGATTGAGATTTTCATGACTATGAGGATTTTTATGAAGAGGACTTCACGAGTTTTCTATACCTATAATGGTACATGTTTAAAGGATAGGGTCTAACGGAGTGCGGACAATCATTTTTAGAGGCTTGACAAGGTGCGTGCTTACGGACGGTGTCTAGTTCGTGAGACATACTATGGAAGCCCCGAACAACCTATGATGGGACATGTCCAAAGACAAAAAATAATTTTTAGACTCGATCATGAAAAGTATTTATGTAATAACCCCGTCCCAAAATATATACTCGTTCATGCATACACACATACTTATGAATTACATGCATATAATTATACCTGCATATGACATGTTAATGAGGTATTGGATAATAAGTATTTTGAATAATAGGAAGAAATAGGGGCTCAATCGAAGTAATATAAGTTGGAGGACTAGAATAAAAACAAGCCACACTTTGAGGGACCAAAATGAACTTTGCCAAGATATATATATATATATATATATATATATATATATATCTCAAGTCATCTTTTCATCTTCAATTTTGCAATCCCTAGCCGGGAAACGAGGAGTGAACTAGAGAGAGAGAGAAAAGAAAAGGGAAAAAGAAGGGAAAAACTATAGTTTTTCCAAGGCAAGCCGAAAGCTAGGTATGTACCTCCTATAACGATGTTTTCATACTTGCTTAATTCTAGATTTTAGAGTCAGATTTTGAAGAAGGTTAAAAAATAAAAGTTGTAGATAATACCTTGAAATAGTACCCTGTTAAATATAAGCTTAAGATAACCAATATATCCTTTGTTTTATCCCTTGCAAGTAAGCTATTCGGATTTTCGGTGAATCTTGCGGCAAGTCCGATTTTTAGAAAATCACCATGAGTTGTGTATTTCGTACCTAGACTTGATTTTTGGATATGTTAGACCCCTATGAGTTTCGTTTCATATGAAACTGGAATTGCATCATTTGAATTTGTATTTTGGGACTTATGGTAGAAAGAGTGCGAAGGGATCAAGTACCCATAAAGAAATAAGTTAACCCTAAAGTCATATTTTGCACATTGAGCATATTTAGAAGTTTGATCATGATAAAATGACTTATAAAAGTATATGTGTATGTGTTTATAGACGCGGACGAATGTGAGGTGCAAGACACAATGCGTTGATAAACGACGAAGACGTCATTTTTGTGAGTGGATATAATTGATTGATACTCCGTGTTTATGTTGCCATGTGATGTTATTGACTTTTCCGAATAATATGGTGAACCAATGTTTGTGTATGAATTATGTTTTGATGCTATGAAAGTGCTATGTGCAAGTATGTGTTGATGATTCATGCCATGAGCCATGAATGTTATTATGTATAAGTATAAGTTATATAGAGCATTCATGATGTATGAAAGATACAAAGGTAAGGTTATGACCACCATGTCCAAGTAATCGCAAATACAAGTTACAAGGACCTAATGGGTCAAATACAAGTATACAAGTCGGCCGACCATGCAAGTTTACAAGTTATAAGCTTATAAGCTTACACGTTATATGTTACAAGCTCCGGGGCGATACTTAACGTGTTTTGGTCATAACCAACAAGAAAAGAATACATGCAAGCATTTTGATATATGAACATGTATGAATTATATAAATGGTTATGTTTGTGTCATGAATGTGCTTTTGGTTAATGATATGAAAATGTATAGG